ACACACACACACACACACACACACACACACACACACACACACACACATTACAAATGTTTCTGATGCTAATTCCTTAATATAAAAAACATATATCCATCATATACTCAAGATCATCAAGAAGACCAGCTCGGTGCTTGGACGCCCCCTGGACCCAGTGCAGGTGGTGGGAGACAGAAGGACTCCAGCTAAAATAACATCATTGCTGGACAACGTCTCCCACCCCATGCATGAAGCTGTTGCTGAACTGGAGAGCTCGTTCAGTGACAGATTCCTGCTCCTAAATGCACAAAGGAGCGTTACCGCAGGTCCTTCCTCCCAGCAGCTGTTGGACTCTACAACCATCACTGCTCCAACAAACTCAACAAGGATTAAATACATGCTGACCTCTGCTCAAACACACACTCTGCCTGTAATACTGTGCTGTCAATAGTCCATCCATTCATCCATTATCTTTACCCGCTCATTCCATTTTGGGTCACGGGGGTCGCTGGTGCCCATGTCCAGCAATCACTGTGCAAGGGGCGGGGGACACCCTGGACAGGTCTCCAGTCCGTCACAGGGACACATAGAGACAAACGAGACAAACAACCATTCACTCTCTCACTCACACCTAGGGACAATTTAGAGTTACCAATCAGCCTAACATGCATGTTTTTGGTCTGTGGGAGGAAACCGGAGTACCTGGAGAAAACCCACGCAGCACGGAGAGAACATGTAAACTCCACCCAGAAAGGTCCCTGGACCGGGATTTGAACCAGGGACCTGCTCGCTGAGAGGCAGCAGCTCTACCAGTTGCGCCACCATGCTGCCCTGTCAATAGTCTGTCCTTATCAATGTTCCAATACATATTGAACATTATTATTGATACTGTTTATCTTATTTCTTATATATTGTGTTGTTTATTAACATTTAGGAACTTTTGTGTGAAATCTTTTTATCTGTTGCTGCTGTTACACTTGAATTTCCCATCCGTGGGACAATAAAGGCTGTTTCTATTCTTCTATTCTACCAGTCTTTCCCCTAGATAACTTGCCATGACGGGGCACTCACCTCATCTGTGATTTTTGTCAAGGGGGTGTTAGAGAGACAGAGAGGTGTGCGCTGTTTGTACCAACAGTCAGGGTGAAGGTTCAGCATGAGGAAAGAGGCTGTCAATAGCTTTTTAGCTACAGCACCTGTATTGCGAGCCATTAGCTTAGCGTTACGTCAGTGCCGACAGGTGGGGGGATGGTGTACGCGGTTCGGTTGATGGGGCGAAGCGCCCCTCTTGTATAATGATAGGGGAAACAGTGTATACTACCACAGTGGTTACTCCTTTAGAGCCCTTGGGACTGTAATGGTGGATGTTGGACTTTAAGACTTTGGCATGAAGGGCATCGGGTGCATCAGACAGGTGTTTTTATCAAACTGTTTTAAACTCGTGGAGATTTCACTGACCAGCAAAAAGGAGAGAGAAGACAATTGTCAGCTGGTAGACGGCGTGTCCCAGAATGTTCTTCATCATGGTCCGTGAAATGAGTGGCTTTTTGCGGCCGTATGGGTCTCTGAGCAGCAGGGCTTCAGTCGGCGGCTCGGTAGCCAAGGCCAGAGAGGCAAAAGTGTCCATGATTAGGTTGACCCATAACATTTGCACAGCTTTCAGTGGAGAATCCTGGAAATGAACACACAGAGAAACAGGTACTGTCTGTTAGTATTCATGTAGCTCAGAGTACGAATCTGAATCTGTGAAACATTGTGGCTTACAATCAGACGGTTTGGCATTCTGCAGAAAGAAAAGTTTATTCAACGGGATTAACCTGTTTGAATAAAGGTTGCATTAATTTTAACCTAACTTTATATGACTTTGACATTAAGTCTTCTCAATTTTGCAGTGAGGAACATTATTTTGAAATTGTGTCACTATTTTGTATACCGTTATTACAGACTACATAACCTCTGCCCATCTTTACTTCAACCTCTCAAGTCAAGATAAGAAACAGCAAGGAGGTGTACAAGAAGAAGCTGGAGAGACAGCTCCAGCAGAACAATATCAGAGAGGTGTGGTCAGGGATGAAACAGATCACAGGCTTCAAGCAGAAGGAGGATCAGAAGGATGGAAGCCTGGACAGAGCCAATGAACTGAACACGTTCTTCAATAGGTTCAGTTCAGGAACAAGCTCAGCAGCCTCCTCTCTTGCCCACAGCCAAACAGACATACCACCCTCCATTGACCCAAGGGTGTCCTGTCACACCTCAGATATTGTATCTACCACCTCATTCATGGACCCTTCTCCTACACGTTGGTCTTCAACCAAATCAGAAGATGCTGATACCACCCTTTGCCTCCCCAATCTGCGTCTTCAGAAGTCAGGTGAGGAAGCAGCTGGAGAGACTGAACCGGAATAAGGCTGCAGGTCCAGATGGTGTCAGTCCCAGAGTCCTGAAGGTTTCATTCATTCAACCTTTATTTATTTAGGTAAATCCCATTGAGCCTCGAGGACTCATTTACAAGAGAGACCTGATTTCAACAAAGAATGATGACAACAATGGACAGTTATAAAAAGGCATACAGATTATTATTGATTAATTTATTTATTTTTAACAAATAGGATGGCTAAAAAAAAGAAAAGTAACAAAAAACAGCTAGATTCTAAGGAGAATGTAGAAAACTAAAAACAGGAACATATCTGCATTGGTCCCTGCCAGGAGTCCAACAGATTCTTAAAGACACTTAGAGAGGTCAAAGGTCGAGAGCTTCAAATCTTTTTACAAGATGTTCCAGGAAACAGGAGCGGAGTAGGAGAAGGTCCTTTTGTCTAGTTCAGTCCTCACTGAGGGAACACTGCAGGTAATGATGTCCTGAGAGCGCACGCTGTAGCTGCACTCACACAAAAGGTGTGTGCTGAGCAGCTCTGCGGGGTTCTGCAGCACCTCTTCAACCTTAGCCTGACCCAGGAGAAGGTTCCAGTGTTGTGGAAAACCTCCTGTCTTGTTCCAGTCCCAAAGAAAACTCACCCATCAGTCCTCAATGACTATAGACCTGTTGCCCTGACATCCCACATCATGAAGGTCCTAGAGAGACTTCTGCTGACCCATCTGACTAGACAACAAGCACATATCAGGACCCACTGCAGTTTGCTCATCAGCGTGGACTTGGGAGTTGAAGATGCCATCATACACCTGCTTCAGCAAACTCACTGTCATCTAGAAAAGGCAGACAGCACTGTGAGAGTCATTTTCCACTCTGTACACCTCAGATTTCCAGTATAAAACAGACTCCTGTCATCTGCAGAAATATTCTGATGACTCTGCAGTAGTCGGGTGGATCAGAGATGGACAAGAAGCTGAGTACAGGGAACTGGTGGACCGCTTTGTGGCATGGTGTGGAAACAATCATCTCACGTTGAACGTGAACAAAACAAAGGAGATGATTGTAGATTTCAGGAGAAATTGGAACAGGTCCAACCCTATTTCCATCATGGGAGAAGAAGTGGAGGTGGTGGAGAAGTATAAATACCTTGGGATTCACCTGGACAACAGACTGGACTGGAGATGCAACAGAGAAGCGTCTACAAGAAGGGACAGAGCAGACTGTACTTCTTGAGGAAGCTGAAGTCCTTCAATGTTTGCAGCAAGATGCTGCATATCTTCTATAAAAGTCTGTTGTAGAGAGCGACATCTCTTCTGCCATCATCTGCTGGGGGAGCAGCACCAGAGCAAGTGACTTCAAAAAGATCAACAAGCTCATAAAGAAGGCTGGCTCAGTTCTGGGGACTCCTCTAGAACCTTTGAAGATGATTGTACAAAGAAGGATTCTTCATCAAGATCATCAGGATCAAATGAAGAACATTATAGACAACCCTCAGCATCCTCTTCATCAGACTGCCATACAACAACAGAGTGTCTTCAGTCAGAGGATTCTTCAGATCTGCTGTAAGACAAGAGATCCTTCCTGCTCACAGCCATCAGCATCTAGAACAACTCTTTAATGAAACCAGGATGATGAGTTACAACATTTAATTTACCTCTGGGATTAATAAAGTAGTTTTGAATTGAACTGAACCAGGGGTAAGCCTGGAAACTAACCTAACTAACCTGTAAGGTTGAATGAAAGGAAATAAATATATTGTATAAGTATTAAAACCTCAAAGTTATTTTTCTTTGATGAATTACTGTGTCAGTTTAAAAATAAGTAATTGCATTTTGTGACATTTTGTCTCCAGATAGCCCCTTTAGACTGAGTTTGAACAATCAAAAAGACCCTCTGTTTTGCTAGGACAAAAACAACGGATTGATCCACTTGCCTCTGAATTTAAAAAAAACAATAATATTTTAAACACTTTCAGAACCATAAAACTAAATTCAATATGTGCACAGAAACCAATCAAAAACATTTATATAGGTTCAATAATATCACTGTTTTAATGGTTGCTATCTGATGTATGTATGAATAAATGGATCTATGGATGGATGGATAGATGGATGATCTATGGATGGATGGACGGATCTATGGATGGATGGATGGATGGATGGGTGGGTGGAATGGATGGATGGATTTATGGATGGGTGGATGGATCTATGGATGAATGGATTTATGGATGGAAGGATGGATGGATGGATGGATGGATGGATGGGTGAATGGATTGGTGCTTGGATGGATCTATGGATGGATGATGGATGAATGGATGGATGAATCTATGAATGGATCTATGGATGGATGATGGATGAATGGATGGATGGATGAATCTATGAATGGATCTATGGCTGGATGATGGTCGAATGGATGGATCTATGGATGGATAATAGGAGGATGGATGGATGGATGATAGGTGGATGGATGGATGGATGGATCTATGGATGGATGATAGGTGGATGGATGGATGGATGGATCTATGGATGGATAATAGGAGGATGGATGGATGGATCTATGGATGGATGGATCTATGGATGGATGATAGGTGGATGGATGGATGGATGGATGGATGGATGATAGGTGGATGGATCTATGGATGGATGGATAGATCTATGGATGGATGGATGCAGTGTTTCCCCTACCATTATATAAGTGGGGTGCCCCACCCTGTCACAGAACTGAGCACCCCGTCTACCAAATTGAACTTGACCCCCCACACACACACACACACACACACACACACCACTGACGCAGCACTAAGCTAGCAGTGCAAAATACAGGCTCTCTAGCTAAAAAGCTAAAGGCGTCTCTTCCCTCATGCTGAACGCATCTCCCCACCCCTGTCCCAGCTCAAAAACTGTTGGTAGAAGCTGCGCTCAGACAAGTCTCCGTCCCCCCCGTCAACAAAATTCATAGATGAGATGAGCACCCCGCCATGGCAAGTTAACTAGGGGAAACACTGGGCAGGATGGATGGATCAGTACAGAGTACTGTCCCACCTTGTGTTTTGGTGGCAGGATGAATGAGCTCTAACGTCACCATCAGGGGTACCTTCTTCGGTAAATCTGACCTGGGTAATGCAGGCTCCGGTGAAAGCCACGGTGACAGCCACCACGTTAACTGTGAGTTGGAACTGCAGGAACTTGGAAATGCTGTCATAGACATTTCTGCCCCACATCACAGCCTTGACGATGCTGGTGAAATTATCGTCTGTCAGGATGATGTCGGAGGCCTCCTTCGCTACATCCGTCCCTGCGATTCCCTGTAAATCCCAGAATGCAGCCAGTCTGACTTTATTCTTTCTGTTTCACACTTATTCAAACTGAGTGTTTGACTAAACCTGTGACAGAGCTTACCATAGCAAAGCCAACGTCTGCTTTCTTCAGGGCAGGACCATCATTTGTTCCATCTCCAGTTACTGCAACAACCTGCCTCTGCTCCAGGACGGTGCTGTCGATGATCCCTAACAACCCAAAGGAAGGACACACAGATGGGACCACTCAGAGACTGAATGAGAAGAAAAAACAGCTTCAATTAAGGACCTAGCAAAAACAGGAAAGGCATAGTTTTCATCAAGTCTTGTGTTTATGTTATATAGTGAGATCTCGCAAAATGTGTTAGTGCTAGGAGTATGTGTTGACGATGACCCTCAGCTACTACCATATCAAACTTTAGTTCAGTATCTGTACAAGTGACTAAGTTGGAGCCATTTTGTGGTATGTATCTTGCTGAGCTGTGCCTGTTGGGAGACTAGTGACTCAAAGGGAAAATATTTGAACTTTTCATTGCCGACTCACTGCACTCTTTGCCACCAAGTAACCAACGAGCTGCGCCGCCACATTTTAAACCACCAGTTATTGAAAATCACTCTTTATTTTTATGGCTTGTAAAACTGGACCAACCTCAGTTTGTTTTGTATCCACCTCCAACAGCCAACCCCATTTTTGGATTTAATTTACTGGAGTACACTTTTGAAATGAAGATAGGCAGAATTGAAGGTTTTTTCCAATAATTCTTTTTATTCATGTGTGTTTTTTTGATCTGGCCTTTTGCCTCGGATGTTTTCTGTTAAAGAAGAGCTCCTGTGTAGGTGTCAAAGTACAGTTCTGGTGCCCTTAAGACAGGTTAAAAATGCCTACAGTGACTGAGTGACTATTTCAAAAGCAAAGTTGTTTAAGGATGCCATCTCCTCTGTGGTCCACACTGCGCTCAACAACCTGAAGCAGAAAAACTCTTACATCCGTCTGCTCTTTGTGGATTTCACATCTGTCTTCACCATAATGATCCACCAAACCCTGATGGACAAACTATCCACACTAGGACTAAGCCCCTCCATTTACAACTGGGTAACTAGACTTCTTAACAAACAGACCACAGTTAGTGAGGATCCACAACTTCTCCTCCTCCACCATAACCCTCAGCATTGGCTCTCCTCAGGGATGTGTGCTGAGCCCTCTCCTGTTCATTCTGTTCACGTATGATTGTGCAGCTACCCATCCAGGCTGTCACATTGTAAAGTTAGCAGATGATACAGCGGTGGTGGGATGCATCACAAACAATGATGAGTCCAGCTACAGGCAGGAGGTGGAACACCTGGAGAGCTGGTGCAGGAAGAACAACCTTCACATCAATGTGAAGAAGACAAAGGAGATGGGCGTGGACTTCAGAAGGAACAAACCCACCTACCCCATGAACATAGGCGGATCTGTGGTGGAAATGGTCTCCAGCTACAAGTACTTGGGTGTGCACCTGAACAACAACCTCAGCTGGAGCAACAACACCACCAGCCTGATGAAGAAAGCTCATCAGAGACTCTACTTCCTCAGGCGGCTGAGACGAGCTGGTCTGGAAGCTCAGTCCTCACCTCCTTCTACAGGTGTGCAGTGGAGAGCATCCTGTGCTCCAGCATCAACGTGTGGCAAGGAGGCTGCACAGCTGCAGAAAGAAAAGCTTTGCAGAGAGTGGTGAAGGCTGCACAGAAGATGTTGGAGTCAGTCTCCACCATCACAGACATCTACACCTCCAGATACAGGAAGAGGGCCACCTGCATCATGAAGGACCCCACCCACCCAGCACACACACTTTTTGTCCCACTCCCCTCAGGAAGGAGGTTGAGGAGCATTAAGTGTAGAACCACTAGACTGAGGAACAGCTTCTACCCTGAGGCTGTTAGACTCATGAATCTCTAACCAGAAGAATCACTGTGAAAAATCACATCATGTTGCTGCTGATCTGTTTCATGCTGCTGCTGATCTGTTTCATGTTGCTGCTGATCTGTTTCAATGTTGATGTGTTCATGCGTGCACATCTGCTCACAGACTCATGTTCATGTTTGTGCTGATGTTCAATGTTTTATGTTATGAGTGCTTAGTGTATATTTAGTTGATGTTTTTCTTAGTTCATATCTTAGATGTTATTACTGTTTTTCTTATACATTTTATTGTTGGATGTAACTGGGACCCTGTGTACATAATTTCGCTCCACCACATGTACCACATGAGGTGCGAATGACAATAAAGAAACTCTGACTCTGATTTAAGAACGTGTTCAAACAGGTTCAAAATTCAAGCAATGGGACTGAAAGCTTTCAGCCCCTTCTCCACGGGCATGGCTTTCCTCAACTCGCATCGACTCAGCATCGGCCAAGTGTGTCTCCAATCCTGTCCCTGCTTAGTTGTTGGAACTGCCAAAGCCGTGGTTCCAAGTGGGCTGAGCAGGTGAATTTGATGTCAGCAAACAGCAGCTGTTGATTGGCCCATGGACTGACGTCACTGTATGAGCCAAGGCCGTACTTGTAAACTCCTCCTGAAGTGCCATTTTCATTCCAGTCTTTGAGTGTACGTGTACATTGCTGAGATAGAGCAGTAAATCACAGGTTATATTGTGCTTGAATGATGATGTGCAAACCTTTTTATCAATTTGTCAGACAAGCACATGCAGCATGAGCTTAACAGAACAACGAGGAACAAACAAGTTTACGGAAAGTGTCTGAGAAAGTGGCCGCCCACGGCTAAACTCACTCTTACAAACAGTGGAATGAAAAAGTCAATAAAAAGTCAGACTACTGGATGATAAAGGATCACGATGGGACCATGATCCCACCCAGTGAGTGAGGGACACTCTCTCAGTGGAGACACACCTACACTGAATAGAGATGAAGCGATCAGACAGGTACTCAGTCAGTTGCCTTGGCAAAGCGTCCTCGTCTTCAGGGATTTTTGTCGACTGGGTGGGACTGGGTTTTTGGCTAATTCTGCATTTTTTGCACTTGTTTGAACATTTTTCAACCTAAATCAGCAAAAATGTGCTCTCTCCGCATCCTTCTGGTAACTTATGCTTCTTTCTGCAGTTTTAGCTACTTTCAGCTGTTTTTATGTGTGAGCTTATTTCAGCTTTTTCAGATAATGACCACATTTTTGTGCTCATTTCTGCTTATTTCAGTCTAATTGGGCAAATGTGCTCTTCCTGCTTTCTTCTAATTTAACCTTGTTCTACCTTTTCAACTACATTTTTTTTAGCATTTTCTAGCTAAATTCAGCTGTTTTCAGATACATTCAATTTTTTCGTAGTAATTCCTACTTAACTTTTTTATGCTAATTTTAGCTTTTTATGCTCCTTTCAGCTTTTTTCTGCTAGTTTCAGCTTTTTCTGATAGTTCAGCTGCTATTTAACAGTTTTTGTGCTAAATTTAGCTTTTTCAACTAATTCCACATTTTTTAGCTCATTTCAGCTCCTTCCACTTCCTTCTGGTCGTTTAAGCTTCTTTTAGTCTTTTCAGCTATTTTCAAGCTATTTTTTGTTATATTCAGCTTTTTTATTTATCTAATTTCCTAATTTATGTGCCAATTTCAGCTTATTTAAACCTAATTCAGCAAAAATCTGTTTTTATGCTTTTGTTTGCTAATTGAAACTTGTACTTCAATTTCAGCTACATTTCAGCATGTTTTTAGCTAATTTCAGCTGTTTCTCAGCAAGTTCTTCAGCCATAAACATTCTCACTACATTTTTACTGTTTTGTTCAGCTGTTTTGTGCTTCTTTCTGCTAACTACAACATTTTTGTGCTACTAGTGAAATGCAATTTCACTAGTTATTATTTGAGTGTTTCATTACAATATGTCCAGCAGTTCATGGGAATTTTTGCTAACACACATAACAGACGGTGTTGACTCCAACAGTTAATGACATTACGTAGTGCTCAAAGTATGTGTTGGACATGATGCTCAGCTACAACCAAACCAAATTTCAGCTCCAACAATGTTCAGTCAGGTCATCTGGATGGTTTCAATTGTTACCGAGATGTTTCGTGCTTCATCCAAAGGACTTCTTCAGTCTGAGGCGCCACTAAACCAAACTGAATCCCACAAACAGCACACTCCCAGAGTAGGAAAAAAACACTCCACGTCCTTTGGATGGTGGATGAAACGTCTCAGCAACAAAAACAAACCATCCAGATGACCTGACTGAACATTGTTGGACTTATACCTGGATTAATGAGCATCAATTTGACTGAATAATAGCCTTTTTGTGTGTGAGCTAATGTGGATTAGCTGCAGTAATCATCATCTGAAGGACACAAGATTTATACATTCAATAAGATGTTTCTGGGAGTTTCATTCAAATCTGTTCATTGAGTCATGGGATATTTTGCTAACAAATCAAATGAGCACACACTGACCTACTCTATGAATGTCTAACCTTTGACCAGGGTGTGTTTGTCCGTTGGAGATGATCGAGCAAGAACTCTGAGTTTAGGCCAAATCTGATCGATGCGTTCCTGTTCAATCTGATGGAAGAGAACAACATTACAGAGCTCTGTGAAAACATGAACACACCTTGAACTTCTTCACATTTGGTCACCTTACAGTCAAAAACTTCAAAGTTTTTACTAGGATTTAGACTTTTATGTGACAACACAAAGCAGTGTCTAATAAGGTACTGGAAGGAAAGTGATGACATTTTTAATTTTGACATTTTAAAAAGTGGGCTGTGGGTTCAGTTCTATTTCACCCCTACTGACCGCCAGAGGCGGTGCTTAAAGCACTGAATGATCATTCTTTCGTTTGCGCAGGTCGAGTATCTTATGCCAGCAAGGTCATGTGTGACTCCCGGTGACACCGGTGAGTCCATATAAGCGCATGACAACGGTAGCTCAGTCCCTTTCATCCTCTTGCATGAAGGTTGAACAGGTGGTAAGAGGTTTGCTTTGTTTGCCTGACGCTGGTAGCCTCGAGATTACGGTCGGAGCTGTGGGATTGTCTCGGCCTCCAGAGGATGCACAAGCTGGTATCCTCTTTGATACAACTGTACTTCAACTGGTAAGTTGTTTATTTCTGTTGACCCGGCAGTAGCGCATTCGCTAGCCGCATCAGGTTTCCTTATTGGCTGGAAGTACGGCGTTTAGCCTGTTCCAACCTACTTGTCTTTGCTTGAGAAGCTGCAGCCATGTTCGACTTGCCTTTAGTTACGTACGTTTAAGCCGTGCTCGTGCTTACTTGGTTTTCATCTCTGTGGCCGTATTGGCTTATATTTTGCTGGTGTAGCAGCCGTGTTTGGCTTTGCCTCACCTTTTTACATGTATTGCAGCCGTTTTCAGGCTTGCTTTTCTTTAGATTGTGCAGCCGTGTTCGGCTTGACTTTATTTTGTTACACTGCAGCCGTATCCGTGCTTGCTTTTTGTTACTTTGTGCAGCCGTGTTCGTGCTTGCATTTTCTTTTGAGTTGTGCAGTCGTGTTCAGCTTGCCTCCTTTACAAAATTTTTTTTTTTAAATGCAGCCGTGTTAGGGTTGCGTTTTTTTTTTTTACCTGTCATAGATAGCACTCTCCGGCAGCTTTTATAAGCTAGCTGCTGGGGAACCCCTGGTGGCGTTTTCTGCTCGACCGGGTTCCCTGGTCCAATCGTTCATCGACTTCAGTGTGAAGAGTGGCGTTTCTAGCTCAAACTGACGCTTCTAGTCCTGTGAGAGATAAGATGCTGGACGTGCAGTGCTGCAGAGCCTGTTTGACACCTCTCCAGTTGGAGGATGGGCATGATCTGTGCCCCCCTTGTTTTGGGTCAGATCATTTGAGAGAGGCCTTGATGGAAGCAGCCTACCCCAAATATTCCATTCTGCCCCTGTCCCTGCAAACTGCTCCTTTGGCTAGTTTTGAAGGTGTGAGCCAGCCTGTAAAGCATGTGACCCCAGAGGCCTTGGGGCCTCCGTGAAAAAGGACCAGGAAGAGCTCCAGGGGCTCAGAGGGACTATCTGGGCAGGTGGCCCATCTGACCTCTGAGCTGGAACAGATGAAGGCACTGGGAAGCAAGTAGTGGTGGCCTGACTGGGGACCCTGACCCGCGGTAGAACATGGGCTTGGGGACCTCTGCTTTTGAAGCGGATGCTATCTCACTGGCAGCATCTGGAACTGATTTTCAAGAGCAGTTTGATACTGGCTTGTGTGTGTCGACTGCCAGTTTGTACACTTCCTCCTGCTCTCAGTCAGAGGAGGATGGTTCCATAGTGGGTGCTTTGAGGACTGCTCTTGCCCGGTTGCAGCTAGATATTCCACAGAGCCAACCTGCTACTTCCAGAGCTTTATTTCAACATCCTACCGCTAGGTCTTCCTTTATCGTTCCCCCTTCTGCCAAATACATAAAGGAGGTACATGCCTGCTGGGTGGATACTAAGGCCTTCTCATGACCAACTGCAGATGGCAGGGCCCTGGCGGCCATGCAGTATGCGCCCAAGTTTGGCTTGGGCCATATGCCTTCTGTCGAACCCGCCATAGAATCCCTCATTGTGGCTCCGGATGAGACTTTGAGGACTAATGCCAGGTGAATAGAATAGAATAGAATTTATTGCCATTTGCACAGATACATTAATACAAGCACATTGGAATTCTTGTGTTTTTCCAACTCAATAATAGTAAAAATTTATAAAAAGATAAAAATAAGATAAATAGCCTTTATTTATCCAGGTTAGTTTCATTGAGCCACGAGAACTCATTTTCAAGAGAGACCTGTTTTAGGGAGCACATGTGGGGGTTAAGGGCCTTGCTCATGGGCCCAGAGTGGGGGAATGAGGGTGGGGGCAAGTGTGGGTGTTTCACCTACCCCACCCACAATTTTTGATGTTGTCGGGGCCGGGGCGTGAACCGGCGATCTTCGGATCACAGGCCCACCTCTCTAACCTCTGCGCCACCACTCCCCCCAACTCCCCCCAGTTCAGATGCTGCACATTTATCACATTTTGTGTTACAGAACTGAATAGTTCCTGCCCTCTTTAATGTCCTGTGCCACCAACAGCGGCTGGAAAAAAGCTCCTGTATAGGCGAGTCCTGTGTGCACTAATGCACACAGGCCTACAATGTCTCACGTTGTGACCAGAATCCGTCCACTGGAACAAAGAGTGAGTAGGATGGTGTCTGTCTCTGAGAATCTGCTGTGCTTTCCTCCAACAGTACTGTGTGTAAATCTCTTCCATGGAGGGAAGGATGGAGCCACTGATCTTTTCAGCAGCTTTAATCACATGCAGCAATGCCTTCCTCTCAGCGAGAGTGGTGCTGCCATACCACACTGTGATGCCGTTTTTGAGGATGCTTTCAACAAGACCCTTGTAAGCTTGAATGAGAGGCTGATGTCCAAGTCCAACTTTTTTCAGCACTCTAATGAAGTGAAGTCTCTGCTGGGCTCGTTTGTCTTTTGTGTCCTCGTCCTCAGTGCCGTGTCATGGATGACCTGCTCTGTAGAGCTTATGACTCAGGGTCTTGATTGGGACAACTCAGTAACTTGCTGTCACATTCGTTACTGGGTCTCTCGACCTCCTTGGAGGGCTTGGTGATTGATGCTCCTACTCGAGGGTTGGTGGACGCTTCCCTTCATGCATTTGCTCTTTTTTCAAAGGAGATTGGCCGTGTGTTGTCTACCCTCGTCCAGGCATGTCGTCAGGTTTTGCTGGTGCAGTCTCCCCTGACTGAGCCCTGTAGAAGGACCCTGATGAGTCTTCCTATGGTTCCAAAGGAGCTGTTTGGTTCTGCTTCACTTGCAGCCTTGGAACGATTGGCCAAGGCCACTCATACCAGGCAGCAATTGGCCAGCCTTCATTGTAGAGACTTGCAGCATACTGCTGAAGGTACCTCTACGTCCTCCTCGTGTACTTATCCTGCCCTGCCTACACCCTCTGTGGGGCAGCTGCGGCCTGCTGCAGGGCCTGCTCATAGCCAATGGGCTCTGCCCAGAGGTTGGGCCTCTTCAACTGCCCTCTTCAATGTAAGCAGTCCTCTCAGCATCCCTCCCACCCTATTAAAGGCGGGGGAGCTCAGAAATGACATCTGGGAGCAGGCGGTAGGACACTTTATCCCAGTTCAGCTCAGCTCAGCTCAGCCGCTGGGCCACTCTCGTGCCCGATGTGTGGGTTGTGTCAACACTACTGTATCTTAGGGTTACATGCTACAGTTCCACTGCTGCCCTCCCATTCTTGGTCAGGTCAGAATGATGGTCATTTGTGACTAGGTGAAAGCTCAGGCACTGAGCCACAAAATATGTCTTGCTGACCAAGGGTGCTATAGTGCCTGTCGACCCCCTGCGGGATCCAGGGGGCTTTTACTCAAAGTATTTTTCTAGTCCCAAAAAAGACTGGTGGACTATGCTGAATTTTGATCCAGAGAGGTCTGAATGTTTTTTAAAGACTATCCCTTTCCACATGTTGAGCATCAGGGATGCGCTTCAGGCAGTCTCCCCAGGTATCTGGTTCACCTTGGTCCACTTGATGGACGCATACTTTCATGTACTGATTGTACAGCACCATTGGCAGTTTCTCCACTTTGCATTTCAGGGCAAGCATTTTCAATTCAGAATTCTTCCGTTAGGTCTGTCTCTGTCCTCCCATGTGTTCACCCGGTGCATGACAGCAGCCCTGTATCCTCTACAGGCCAAGGGGCTGAAGATCCTGCCCTACCTGGACAATTGGCTGATCCGTGTGCCCACAAAAGTGCAGGCAACTGCGGACACATCAAAGGTGCTCAATCACATAGACCCATTTGGTCATTGTGTGAACTGGCAGAAGAGCAACCTAGTTCTGTCTCAGGAAGTCACATTTCTGGGGACCACAATGAACTCCCTCATCATGGTGGCTTGCCTGTCACCACAGCGTGTCAGTGGGATTCTGCAGATGCTGCCTGCCTTCCTGCCTGGCCATGTACCCCACTTCATTGCATACCAGCAGTCAGCTTGCCTGTTGGGCAAGCTGACTGCTGACTTTACTGTGGTACCTCTGGGACTGTTGTCTCTGTGCCCCCTACAGATGTGGCTCAACAGCCTGCGGCTGGATCCAACTTGTGCAGCACACCTATGCAGGAGCTTACAGGTGTCCCCTCAATGCCTTGCATTATTAGCTCAGTGATGAGAGGCAGTGTTTATGGTGGAGGGGGTCCCACTGGGCTCTCTGCCATCTCAGAGGGAGATTGTTTGTACCAATGCATCCAACATAGGATGAGGGGCATTGTGGCAGCAACAGATTGCCCAAAGGACGTGGTCTCGGTGGCAAAGGGCGAAGCACATCAACGCCTTGGAACTGGGCGCTGTGCGGCTGGCACTGAAGCACCTCCTCTCAGGCCTGCACGGGAAGCATGTCCTAGTGCGGTCTGACAATACTTCAGTGGTTTTTCATATCAACTATCAGGGGGGAACATGGTCGCTGACATTGCTGCGGCTGACCCAGAAGCTCTTAATTTGAGCAGTCCCCCTCTTTGCCAGCCTCAGGGCAGCCCACATTCCAGAAGTGCTGAATGGGCTGGTTGATTTTCTGTCT